CTGTTAAAATTTATAAGGCGTTATATTATATTTATGGGTATTTATAAATATTTATAAATACTCATAAATACAATAAATACGGCAACTCGGAGTGTATTTATAAATAAGTGTACCACTTTTTTTAGGAGTGTCCTACTCTTTTCAAAGGTCGGAATACACACGTCCAAGTGCTGCAGGACATAACATTGGAGGGAGGGGGAATTTCAATATTGTCACACCATTATCCATTGCACATTTGATCAAGGGTTCATCTACATGTGAGACATGCCCATCATATATTAATGAGACCAGCCCCACATCATCAATATTTGTCAGGAATGATTTTTGTCGTAGGAAGATGCCAGACTCCATCCAACCATTAAATGTTGCTGCATACGTTGTACCAGGATTGCCGTCAGGTTCAATCCATTCATCCCATATGTTCTTCCCTGTATATACCTACTATTAAGGGTGAACTTTGCTTCCAGCGGCATTGACGCTCATCAATACGGTAATGTTCTCTCTGCCAGGACCGAATGTAGTTCTAGAAGAACGTGCACCCATTTTGTTGTTTTTTTTGTGCTGGGTCTGTTTCAGTGTGAATATACAATTTGACGGGAGCATTTTTTTCCTACATTTATTTCCCGCAAGCACAATATTGTGAAATATATTAACCATTTTTTCTAAAAATTTCACAAGTATTTTCAAAAATTAAAATGCTATGCTATGCCAAATTTTATTATTAAATGGAATACAAATTTGCTTTTTAATTTTCTTCAAATTAATTTTTGGGACTGTAATATCGGTCAAAAGTTAGTCATTTTTGACGTATTGTGTGTTACCTACCATATCTCCACAACAACCTTCTTTCCAGTGAGTTCAGTAAAAAAATATTTGAAAAACTTCTGTAATAATGTCCATTTTAAACTATATCTTACGGGAATGACAGAAATAAGTTACGTTTTACTAAATTGATCAATATACTGTCTTAGAACATTTTAATATGGTGGAAAATCGTGCCACATAATGTATAATTGCGTACCGCCAAACTATTTTAGGGTGAGGTATACATAATGTAGATTAGGAACAGTTGAAAGTTATATCACGAAAAGTTTAGTCTTAATTATTTTGATGGTAATCTCCATTTAGATGATAATAAAAGTTTTCGATGATACTTGTTGTCTCGCTTTATTATTCCACATGCAAGTAAGTTTAGGTGACGATTACAAGTACGACATTACGGTACGGGGCTGTGAGTAAAACGTTTGACAATTATGAGTAAACTTCAAACCGTATAAACTTGTAACTGTTCACTTGAACAAAAGTTTACTCTCAAGTTTGTTGTGGTAAGTGTGTAGAAGTATGTTGCCAAACTAATGAAAAATCATGAGAACAATTCTGTAATAAATCTTTTACAACATTACACCAAAATGATATCTCAAGCAACGGCTGTAATGGTGGATTTCATATGTCAGAAAGTTTATAAGTCATTTATATTTTTATTAACGCGTAGACTAAGCGTATCGCTTTTATTTCACGATTGTTTATTTACAAAAACTGATACTTTTGTAATACTACAGAAACATTAAATAGTTCTATGAATCTGGTTGCTAATTTGACGCCTACGTATGAAATGTGATCCAACTGGACCGTAAAGACGTGTTGGTTTAAAATAGGTGATTATTGTCTTAGTTGCGCATTATAACGTAGATTCCTTTCTTTATAATAAAATGTTATTCCTAAGAGTTAGAATAATAGCGTGTCAGAAAATTCGCGTAACCTTGTAATTTTCGCAAAATTGTGCGCACAGTATTATTTGATTCAAGACAAATGGTGTGTCGAGTGATATAAGGAATTGCTTTTTAGTTGATATTCTCGAGAATAGTTTTCGAGGCGCTGTTTTGTCTTTTGACTTGTTATTCGAGTTTGCATTTACGACTTTTGGCTTGGCTTGATTCAATTGCGTGACGCGTACCTAACAGTCGTCAGTATGTCGTGTTTGCATGTACTTAGTTGTTTTATAAATTGAAACATAGGAAAATCCCTTTTGGCTATAAAACATACCTATTTATTAAATAAGGTAGAAGCAACAAAATTTTAATTATAAATTATAGGTCACGCCTAATATTAATTAATTTGACAGCTCGCGTTAAGAAGCTATCAGTGAGTTGATTGTGTGATTAAATACAATTGTGGACTAAATAATAACCGTGTAATACATAGATCGGTGTGATTGGTGAGGTTCCAACCGCCCCACTGGCTGTCATTTTTTAAACTTTAGTCTAAGGTTACCTTATCCAGTACCCTCAGATACCTTCTGAACTGAAGAAGGTCCGGCTATTTAACAATGTATTGCATGTACTTATATGGTTTCTATTTCTTGCACACCATCGGTGCATCCTTATCTCAAAGTTTTGGTAAAGTCGCAGAGCCGATTCTGTTAAGAATGTTTACTACAAAAGCCTCTGAAATTCACATGGTATTTGATTGGCACTTTTTTCCAGTAATTAAAGATTGCACGCGCGAAAAACTAAATAAATAACACTACCTACCGAAATTTAGGAGTATGATAAAATCTTTTATTGAATAAATAAATCCAACAATTTTCATAAAAGTTTCGAGTAGCTTGAAAACACAGCAATACCATTGATAGAGCATGAAGGTTAATATTGCCGTATTACCCTAGGCATAAGTTGAAAATTTTTAAACTATAGATCCATTGTAAGTACTTTTTTAATCATCGACATTGATATGAAAAGTTTAAGTGATCATAAACGCGGAGCAATTTCGCGTGAATTTACATTTACAGCAATTTACTTACTCACTCACTCAACGGTGATGAAATCGGTGATGTGAAAATAAAACAATTAGCACATATTTCAATTCATTATTAGGCTAAAAGGGGCCTTTTCCGATAAATTAGAAGCCATAAAATTAGAAAGGCAGAATGAAGCTAATGAAGCAAATGTAATATTTTATATGCGCTTGAAAATTTTTTAAATCCATTTAGACAACGTGCATGCCCAGGCGTAGTGCAAAGCGTCAAACGTTGTGGAAGTAACAATAAATTAATAATAAATACGTTCAAAATAATGCATTACATTTCATGATTAGTGTTTTAGGAGAACTGAAAGGAAAGTAATTATTATACAGTGCACAGATTAAAACTTTACTCAGACGGCTTCCTTTAGAACAGAAATTACAAATTTCCAGCCATGTATGGTGCTTTGATCTAGAAAGTAATGCCATCGGTATATAAACATCAAACTTCACAGGGCTTCTAAATGAGGTGTCAAGAATGTTGGCTGATAGTTGAAAACTGTTAATTTCATTGGATAATAACTGCAGCTTTGAACAGTTGAATGCGAGATGCAATCTGAAGTTTCCGACAGGCAACGCGAAATTTGTATTTACATATTTACAAACTGTTAATCATTACAACTCGTACACGTGCACAACACTTCTGTCTCGTAGAAAGCCGAGAATCGAAGTTTTTAGTAATTTCTAATTAATAATATGCGATTATGGTGAAGAGTGCATGGTGAAATTTAAATGAATGTAACGATTGCGGCGGTGGGGTAATCACTGTAATTTAATTTTGCTTTTATCGTTAGACATATCAAACATTGTCATTGAAAGTATTTAAGGTATGCATAGGTAATATATAAATAGCTTTGTAATTAATTTATTGGCCCTTTTAGATTTCCAACAAATCCTGTTATTCGAAAGCAAATGCTGAAGACGTTTTGATTAAAAGAGGGCGACATTTTCATAGCTACTAAAGTATGTAGCAAACATTTTTCCGATGAGTGTTTGACATACCCTTTGAGGGTGAAAAAAAACCATGTATTCATTTAAATGTATTTCGTTTCTTACTGGGTTCTGACGAAAACCGTAACGTATAATGTGTAGCTTACAAACCAGCGTTGCAATGTATTTTGTTTACAAAATGGCCATCGTGCGTGGTCTGTTTTCAAATCATCGTTTTTTATGGTTTTATTTAAGCATAATGAAAGTTTAATAACAATAAAATAGTTGAGGTGTTAGTGAAAACGCATGGAAGTTTAATTGCCGCCATCCATATTTTATTAATCTTTGGTAATTGAATTCATTTATTTGGGAGATTCCGCAGTATTGGACGGATCCACCTTTATCTCTGTAGGAGGATATAATCGCGTTTTTTCTTCTTGTTCCTCGTAAGTACGTCATTTGAATTTTATGTACTTGAAGTGTACATTTCTGTAGGTTTCGGCTGATATTTCCAGATTGTAATTTCCATCGACGATTGTTGCATTCATCTATAATTAGGTTTTTTTTTGTAAAAAACTTGTTTTATTTTCATTGTACGTTCTGTCTATTATTTGTGAAAACGAATGATGGACAAAATTCATTTATTAGTAAATGATGAAGGAGAGCTAACAATGTTTGCACTGTTATAATAATATCTAAGGACGTGGGAAAATGTTTCGACAACAAGTAAATGCTATCAAGCAAGGAACTCGAAGACAGTGGCGTAGCGTGGGTGGGGCGGAGGGGGCGGCCCGAGGCAAAGGCAGGGGGCGGCAAAATGTCGCCGGTGAAGTGGGGACAAAACGTTTGACAAGTCATCAACAAACAACAATGGGTGCATTCAGCAGACCCAACAGTTGCGTAACTGCTACCAGTTATTCTGCCGAACTGTGCGCCAAAGATCTGATCTTTGTGTGCGCTACCAGCGCCAGCGCCGCTGCCAACCGGCCAGTCACCAGTGATCATATGTTTCGCAAGCCTAACGCTCTTTCAGTTTCCGAGTTTCGCGAGAGTTTCGAAACGTAACGCAAGTCGCGCGACAATAACATTGCGCGCTAAGACAAGACGCTAAGATTCGAAACGTTATTCTTGTCTAGTATCAGCCAGCTCAATATTTTTGCTTCCTCTCGCATCATAGAAAGTTATTTCTATTCTGTTGTTTATAGTTTAAATACTGTTGAATCTTATAAAACTAAACATTTAGTGCTCAACCTTTGAACTAGTTTTTGAGGATGAAAAGAGTCAAAAAAAGCGGTGCGGAATACCGAAAGAAAAAGGCTAAGAAAGAAGCAGATGCGAAGAAGTCTCAAGGTGCATTACTGAAATATTTCGATTCTAGTTCAGGTTCGAAAACCACGTTAACGCCTTCGGCGGCATCCAGCAGCAGCGGAAATGATTTTAATGTAAGTATATACTATATGATTCCTCTATCTAGAATGTGATGTGGGTGGCCTAGAAGCTAGAATTGTCCTCCGGCAAATATTTATGGGAGTGAATGCATAAGTTATTTTACACTGTAAAATTTACAGGCAGAGGAAGAAGACGACGACGTGTCTGTCGTCGAAGTTAGAAGTCGTTCTGGTCCTACCACAGAGCATGGTCAAGACGAGATCGACTCATCAGAAGTACCTCAAGCATCTAGTCAAAAGTTTGCAAAAGAAGTGAACCTCGATCTCGATGTTGCCAAAAAAAACGTAATTGAAACCGTGCCTTTTGCTCCTTCCGAAGCCAAAGATGTGAATGTCGACGATGTAGGTTGCTGGCCTTCTACTATGACCGACGATGTCAGAACGCTTATAGTACGTCGCGGATCTGACTCGGTACAGCACATCGATTCCAAATTTGCCGATGTTGTTCGCTCAGGGACTTTAACAAAGGGCGGTATCCGAAAACTAACCAGAGAGTGGTTCTACAAACTATTATCTAACGGCGAAAAGGTTCTCCGAACATGGATGGTGTACTCGCCTTTAAAGCAATCCTTGTATTGTTTCTGTTGCAAGCTGTTTGGCAATTCCAATTCAGGCACGAACTTCGAATCTGAAGAAGGATTCAACAAATGGTGGAAGCTAAATCCAAAAATCGGAGACCATGAGAACAGCCTGGATCATGAGCAGAGCTTCTTGAAATGGAAGGAGTTGGAAGTACGCCTGAACCGTAAAGCAACCATCGATCAGAAACAACAAGAAGTTTTCGAAAGTGAGGAGAAAAAGTGGAGGGATATACTGTACCGGTTGCTGAATATTATCCAGTTCTTAGCCAAACAAAATCTGGCTTTCAGAGGACATTCGAGGAGATGACAGTGGCAATCGCGAGAACTTTTTGGAGTTAGTGCACCTTCTAGCTAAATATGACCCTCTTCTAATGGAACACATGACAAAAATAAGACTGGGAGTAAGAGTCTCAGTTTCGTATCTATCTAACCACTCACTCAACTTGGCTGGGGTACACGCTGCTTCTGAATCAGTGAATTCCGTAACGTTTTTTGGAACTCTGGAGAAGCTATTTGCCTTTTTTTCTGCATCAACTGCTCGGTGGAACACTTTGGTTGTCGTCACAGGTCAAGCAGTGAAACGAGTCACTGAAACGCACTGGAGCGCTAGACATGAAGCTGTCAAGACGCTTAAAAATAAGTTTGAGGAAGTTCTTGAAGTACTGGAAGAATTGACGGATTCATCTCAAACTTCCGAAACAAGATCGGGAGCCGGTCTTCTTCTGGCAGCCATGCAGTCATTCAACTTTCTCACTTTTCTTGGCTTTTGGGCTGCAGTGCTACTGTGAAATAGATGACGCACAGATTTACCTACAGCAAAAAGGACTGAGTGTGGATAAGTGTGCTCAGAAACTCTGCGCTTTAAAAGCTCTTCTAGTGGAAAACAGAGACCGTTTCGTCCAAGCCGCAATCGATTTTGCTAAGACTCTCTGCGAAAAACTCGGAATCGAACTTAAAACGACAAGAATTCGCAGGAAAAAACGCATTCATGGGGATGAATCTGCAGATGCAGCTTTGTCTCACGAGCAGGAACTCCGTCGAGAGGTGACAAGATTATTGAAGAAATGACGACTCGATTCCAGCAAGTTCAAGAAATAGCGGACAAATTCGGATTTTTGACGCCAGCAAAACTTTTGGACAGCAAGTACGAGTGTGATCTTTCCCATGTATTGGAATTGGAAGACATCGACAAGGATGAGTTTCAAATAGAGCGGAAGCGTCTCCAGCAGTTTGTCGCCAGTTCTGAATCAGAGGGAGATATAAAGGGAAAAGGACCACTGCAGCTTCTCCAGTTCATACAAAAACTGAATCTGGGAATTTCGGTTCCAAATATAGTTATCTTGATTCGTATTTATTTGACTTTGGCAATTAGTGTCGCTAGTTGTGAAAGGAGCTTTTCGAAGTTGAAACTAATCAAAAATTATCTCAGATCCACTATGAGCTCCACGTTTTTGAAACCGCTAATACTATTTTATTATTTTTTATTGATACTATTTTATCTTCAATAAAGGATACCTTTTCGTCTATCTATGTGAAATGTTGTCTTGAAATTTAATTTTAATTAAGTAGGTATTGAATGGGGGCGGCAAAATGGGTCTCCCGCCCCAGGCGCCGAAATGGCACGCTACGCCACTGCTCGAAGATTAATAGAAAATATAATATTGCCTGAAACCAATTAAATTGTATTTCTAGAACAAGGTATGTTTGATCACATTAATGATCCAAGACATTTTTTAAACCATAGACGTCAATTAGTATAATAAAATACTACTCGTATTTTCGGTCGCAAAGAACGTGTTAGGGTATGCAAATTATTATTCACAAACAGCTTGTCTGTAACGGATAGAATCATAAGAACAATAGTGTGTTGTTAAATGAAGACCAAAGAGGAAAACATGGCGGTCAGAAGAAGCTAGATCTCGACATAAAAGTCGCAGTTCGATTCATCACGCAAAGAGAAAGAAGGAGACAAAGTGGAAGCCCAACAACGGGTTTTAATAGTAGCTTGTTTTGTTTTGTAGACCGATCTGCTATCCTGATGGCAGCTACATCCAGTCCTGGAACCAGCGTCCACATGCTGATGCAGAGAAGAAAGCATGCAGAAGTCCAAGCCGGAAGTAGTGACGAACCGATCGCGGCTCCTGGGGATCTTCGTAACTATCTTTTGTTTTTCCAAACAGCAACTGAATGTGATACACTGCTGAGTTTCTACAAAGTGTTACTGTTTCTCTGCTTTTCGTTTTAGAAAATAGTGCTGCAGTTACGAAACGTGATACAATAAGAAAAAGAAGAAAACTCCAGCCGTCCTTAAAAGAAAGACAGAAGAGGGCTTTGGATTAAACAAAGAAATGCACTCTCTATTGCCCCCATGTAGCAAAACATGTATCAGGAATTTTGGAATTTGAATTGGCTTCAAAGAAAAATATTCATTATGAATACTGTCCAAAAGGAAAATGTTAAAAGAAGAACAGCAATTTATTAAATAAATAATTAAAGTGTAGTTAACCACTAACGTAATATCATTGAAAAATCTTTTTACTAAGCAAAAACAATGTATCTTAAGATACGATTTTTTTTCTTAGTAACACATTAACATCTTTTATGACAGCAAATCGTAAGTGTATTTAAACTGTCAAAATAATGACGAATTCAAGATTTTTTATGTCAAACTTAGAATTCTAACGGATGGAATGGATGGAAAATGACATATTTAGCCAAATGGTGCAAAATTATAAAAACAGCAACAACGCAAACCGTAACACTCGTTTTACCACTTTTATGGTTTTTGCATTTACGGTGTTCTTACTTATGACGTCAGTATTGCGCACAGTATTTTGTTAAAAACACCAAATGTGGCAGATTCGTGGTGTGCATACCTTAAGCAAACACACTGGCGTTGGGTAGTTCTTCGGAAGCGGCTCGTGCGCGGATTTTTGGACTCGAAAAAATACTAGTATGCCTTTGCGTACAAATTATAATAATTTAATGTCGGAATATTTAGCACTGTATCACTATGTAAACAGCCCTCACGTTGGTAGGACATTATTTCAAAAACATTATACAACAATGTATGTAGAATCTAAAGTATAATTAATATGTAAGGTATTCCATTTAAAATAAGCAAATTGGCATAAACTGTTTATATAACCGAAAATGTCACAACTAGAAACTAACTACTGCAATAACAATGAAATAACAATTAATAATAATAGAGGAGAACCAAATTTTCTTTGTACATATTGAACTTTGAAGCAATGCAATAGACTTTGTTGTAGATAAACGTTTTTTCGACCCAAAAGAATCACCACCACCAACAATCTATCTCTAGGTGGTTTCTCGTCATTTAATCAAATAAATCAAATTCTTAAGTGTGTGTACACTGAAGAAAGAAATTTTACGAAATCGCTATAGAAGATGTAGCTATTATTTATATTTTCTATGTTCAAACCAAACCACTGATCTAAAGGCGGCGCCAGACATGCGGCATTCGGCAAGTACTGAGTAGCTGCTCGCCGAATGCCAATACGCTCTCATAGTCTGACGTCACACTATTAATTTTTGACAGACTGAATCTAAACAGTAAAATTTCCCATATATTTTACATATACGGTTTTAACTTAACAGGATTATAACTTATTTGCAGCTAAGTTATACGTAAAAAGTAAGTATATGGAATTGCCGTTGCACTTTGATTAAAATCTATCTGCAGTAGAGTTATACATTCATTTGATTCTTTCAAAAATATTGTATTTCCATTTCTGAGGTTATGTCCATGTTTGATTAATTTTTATAATAATAAAGTAAACTATGTATATGTATTGTTTTAGTGGGAACAAAGCATGTGTAATCGATAGCAAGCATTGCTGTATTTTTCAAAGATGATGGTGCTCAACTGAAAAGAGGAGAAAATTCATACGAAAGTGGGCATGTGACAAAAATGCATTTCAATCCGCAAGTACATCCAAGCATACTCAAAGGGGAAGTGGCAGCCAGTATGAAAAAACGTAATTACACGGTTGAGGTCAGTATATATTTAGTATTGTGCATATTATTTCTTAAAAATAATTTAGATTTTGCTGGATAAACGACTGATGAAGTTGATAAATTTCAAAGACAGTAGAGTTTTGAAAACCCAGTTGGTTATGTTTGGTTGCTGAGACAGAAACCTATGGACGAGGAAGAAATAATTCCAAATATTGAACGCCTTGTTCTATCGGAAGACACATGTTCGAGTAAATCAGCTTTTATAATAGACATGTGATTGGAAAGATTGCAAAACAAACAATTGGACAAAGCACAAATGCGAGTTGGTTAATCGCAGATAAGTATAGATTAACTCGCAGCAAATTTGAAACTGTGCTGTCCGCGTGCAAAAGAAACCGCTTTCCAAAATCTTTATTCAAAAATCTCCTTGAAGGGTACGATTGAAGTGGGGTTCAAGCGATTCAATGGGGCAGAGGAAATGAACCTATCGCTATTCAGTTTGTACTATTTAGCTATTTAGTTATTTGGACACCCATTGAAGTAGAATCAGTTAGAATTGCTCGAGATGATACTTGGACAGAAAATATAGAAATCCTAAAATCGTTTTACTTAACAAAATTTCTCCCCAACATTTTATAATCAATTTGAATTATTTAATTACATATTTGTTTATATGATTGGATTAAGATTATACTTATATGTAACACCATTGTACTGTATTATAATAAAATAAAAATTATATCTTTTCTGCATAATACTGTTCCACCTCTTTAACTAGGGGGTATTGCAAATTGGTAAGTGCTGCAACAACTTGAAATATAACATCTGCATGTGGCAGTAACGTACGTGGTATGAATGATAATATATTGAACACCTTCGTACGCCGTATTGCTCGTTCAACGTGAATTCGTGCACGAGCAATACGTTCAGTTTGTCGCACCTGTTCACTATTAAATTGGGGAGTTGTTAAGAATGGTGGTATATTTAGGTGCACTCCTGCTGGAAGAATATCATTTATTAGAAACCCTTTATCGGCTAAAATTAAATCCCCTGGTTCAAGGTGTTTCAAGATCCCACAGTCAAGCACAATTTTTTTGTCACTAACCGAGCCCCCGTATAAACTTGACACAAAGGTGATAACACCATTCGGGACCACACCAACCAACCCTTTCCAAGTTTTGTTACGCGATGTGGATGTATATATTTCGGTGCAATCCAATATTATTCGGCAGTTAGTAAAAAACGTACTGAAACAATTGCGATTGCAAAGTTGGTTTATTTGACGCGAAGGTAAGCCATGCATCAATTGTTGAAATAGTATCTCGTGTAATACATTGTTGCAACCACGTTGGATACCGTTGCTCGAGAGAGATTAAAACGAACACCCAGATCATCATGCGAAAAGTTTTGCCTGAGCTTCATCAATGTCATGAGTAGTTGGTCCCGTTTATTAAGTTTTTCAACCTTTCATGGTAAAATGTATTTAAATGGAATATTCTTCAACAAATCATACAACGTCAAAAAAATCTTTGCTGTTGGAAGACCTGTATCAGAACCAGGTGAGCGCGATCTTGAATTTTCTCAAAACAGAAACGTTCACTTAATGAATGAAGTTCTTTACTTGTCTCTAATAAATCTTGTTTTAAGAAATAGTTTTCGGCCTCTGTTGCAGCTTGCAATTGACATTCTGCGGCTTCTTGCTTAGAAGTTGCAGGTTGTTGCAGATCATCGTCCATTGTCCCTAAACTGTCTGCACATTAGACTGCAATTAACTACAAAAAATGTAATTACCTTGTGTTAATGGAGAGCACATTTACGACTAATTCGTTTTCTCTTTTCCGGGCTAGAAAATTTCATTTTCTTGCCAATGTTAATAGTCAAATATTGTAGACCGGTTCTCTTTGTTAACATCTTCAAAGTGGCAGTTGCAAACATATTCATCTGGACCTGGTTCTTCCTTACGTCTGTAAGGTGCTAATTTATAAACTTTATACCTACATTTAAAATGATTACCTTACCGTAATAACTTTTTCCACTTATTTCTTGTTTTGTGGTCCTTAGGAAACCTAAAAAACTTGCATCTG